TGCTCTCACTGCTGGGACAAAATAGCTGACACCTTAAATTAAGGAAGGAAAGGTTTATTTAGCTCACAGTTGGTGGAGGTTTTAGTCTGCAATCAGCTGAGTCCAAGACAGGATGGCACAGTGCAGGGGCAACAGTTCAAGATAACAAAAGCAACCAGAGTAAAATGGGGGGAAATAAGCCTCTTTTCCTCCCTTATACTGCATTTAGGTTTTCTGCCCACACCATCTTGGTGCCCTTCTCTTCCACAAACTCAGTATGTTTACAAGGTGATGACCCTGACTCCCTGCTGAGTTAAATTTCTAAACTTCTCAAGTTGATACAACCAACCATTACATACCCATTTCCCTCCCAACCCTTAACACGTTAGATTATTCAGAACTGTATCTCAGGTATTACATTATTTCATGTATAAATTTCCAGCATCTACCTCTGAAAGACAAAAATAAACCGCAAACCAATACTTTAAAATTTCTTTATTCTCATGAAATCTCTAGTTAGTGTTCAAGTTTATTTAATTGTTAACATCTTAAAATGTTTGTTCACATCAAGATCCAAATAAGGTCTCACACTTTAGTGTTAGTGGACCTGTCTCATACTTTAGGAAGTCCAGGCCTTGGGAGAGGCCAGTGGCAAAGCCACTTGAGATTCCAAGGATTTGAGCCTCTTTTAGGGTCATTGCTGCTCTTGAACTGAAGACTCAAAGCTCTGCTCAGACCAGGACAATTTCTGAAAAAGTTAGATTGTCAAAGATTGGATAAGAGTAAAGAGCAGTAAATACAGTTAGAGCACAGAAGCACACTCGGGGAAGCTGAGCCAGAAGAATTGAAAGTTCTACCCTAGACCAGGAAAATAAGCAAGACCTTATCTAAAACTAAAACATAAAAAGGGCCGGAGATGTGGGTCAGTGTGAAGTTCCTGGGTCCAATCCCTAGTGTGACAAAAAAGGTGTATGTGACAGGGTACAAAAGTGTCCTGAGTGGCATGACATGGGATTCACCAAAGGTAGTGTGAATGCTTTACCCACTATGTCTTGGCCATGGAGTTTAGAATCATCTAAAAAGTATTATCTGGGGCTGGAGGTCATGTCTTGTCCCTCTAGGTAACCCATGCATACAAAAGTGGCCCATTCTCAGGCCGGCACATGGCAACGAAGATAGTATTCATATCTTCTAAAACTGTATTGATGTTTTCCTGATCCACTGAGTAAAGATGAAGAGAGGTACATATTCAAAAGTGAAAGATGGGGCCAGGGAGATAGCTCAGTAGGATAAGCGCTTGCCTGGCAAGCACAAGGTCCTGAGTTCAATCCCTGGTTCTGCCAAAAAAAAAAAA